CGATGAAATGTTTTCGTGTCATATACACTTTAACAGTTGAATGTTCCTGAATTCTTGTGTTTGTTCTTGTTTCTGTAGTGGGCAATAGTCACGTGATCGAAGGAGATATTTACGTAGATAAGAGTACAACGAACATCCTTGGTGCGCTTCAAAACGGTGTTGCCCGTGATGCCATTACCAATGCTGTTCGTCTCTGGCCACGTGGGAGAGTTCCTTACGTATTTGGAAGAGTCAGTGAGTAATCTTTCCGAAAAACATGGCCGCCATGTTGGTTGACTTGACAAGAAACCAAGCCGGACCAAATCCTTTGTTTAAGTCAACCAACATGGCGGCTGTGACGACACATGCACAAGGACAAAAGACATGGCCGCCATGTTGGTTGACATAACAAATGAAACCAAAACCAAAACTTTTGTTTAAGTCAACCAACATGGCGGCTATGACGTCACTTGCACAGGACAAAAGACATGGCCGCCATGTTGGTTGACATACTGAAAAAAAACCAAGACCAAATCTTTTGTTGAAGTCAACCAACATGGTGGCTATGACGTCACTTGCACAAGGACAAAAGACATGGCCGCCATGTTGGTTCATGATATACCAAAAGAAACCAAGACCAAATAAATTAATCTTTTGTTTAAGTCAACCAACATCCGATGGCGGCTATGACTTCACATGCACTCCAAAAGCTACTAGCTTTTTTTAAAACAACCAAATTATCATTTGAATATCAATTTTTCTCTCACATTTCTTTGTAGGTTCTCGCGTGAAGTCTGCCTTTAGGCAAGCGATCGCAGAATACAACAGATACTCGTGTATTCGTGTTGTGCCCAGAACTTCTGAAAAGGACTACATCTATGTTGTCAGCGAAGGAGGGTGAGTACAATGTTATAGGGAGACTAGACTGTCACACATGTTGTGGTCACGGTACTGTCACRCAACACGGTCACGGGAATGAACTGATGGCATCCAATACGGCACCTGTATATCAGTGAAGTATAACTTGCTGCAATTACCAGAATGCTTCATGAACTTTCTTTCATATTCTAATTTTTGTCCAGCGAATTGCCTCACGAGAAAAGTAATGCAATTAACTGTCAAACAAAAGTATGCAAGGGATTATTTATTTTTCAAGGCCAGACACTAGCCATTATAAGACATCAAATTTACAATAAACATGGTGGAAACCGTTAGTATAATGATGTTGCTTTTTAAATGCTGTTTGTGTGAACCAGTTAACATTTGTATATTTAATGAAGCTTGAGGTGACGTCACAGTCAGTATATATACATAATGGAGGTATAAACATTCATAACTTAAAGACGCAACATTCAAATGAAGAAACATTTTACCGTTAAAATATTCACTTTATGAATCAATACTGAAAATATTGTATCAGGGGTTAGGTGACGAGGTTGAGCAGGTCCGTCGCTGGCTAGGGGTGGTTCGATGGCTCGAATAAACTCCCYCTCCCCTCTCCTGCTATACAAAAAAATCCAAGATCCAATAATACGCAATAAAATGTTTATCAAGAAATGACATAACTAAGATTGGTAACAAAAGAAACCTCCCCTTTCATAGCGACGGACCTGCTTCAACCACCACCAACTAATCGTCTGCCATCATATATGTTGACTGTTTCAGGTGTTGGTCGTTCATTGGTAAAAGGGGTGACAGACAGAAGCTGTCGCTCGGTAGAGGCTGCGAATACAAGGGTATTGCTGTTCACGAGTTGATGCATGCTCTGGGGTTCTACCATGAACAGTCTCGCCTGGACAGAGACAATTACATCACTATTCACTGGAATAACATCAAGTCTGGTAAGTATGGTGTGTGAATGTTTGCCGTTATGTGCAAGCCGAGCACGTGCATGAGATAACTTGTTGACATTTTTGTTTAGCAGATGGTCGATCTGGTTGGATGGATGGAGGGAGGGAGGGAGGGAGGGATGGAGGGAGGGAGGGATGGAGGATGGATGGACGGATGGATGGATGGATGGATGGATGGATGGATGGATAAAAAGATAAAGGAATGAATAGGGAGATGGACGAAATGGACG